ACATTATCCTCTTTCGACCAGGATAAAGAAGAAAAAATTGCTTGTGTGATTGGTGACCGATTAACTAGTGATGTTGTTGTGAGGCTACGCACTCCGGAAGGTCGAGATGATTGGCTATACTGCCACTCAGAGACTCTTGTAAAAAATTGCAAGTACTTTGCGGATAGGTTGTCTGAGAACTGGCCAACATGTCAGATCCTTGATTCGCGCAATTGTGTCGATATCTATTGCCAAGAGTTGGATTTTGATTACCATGTAAATCTTATACGTCTTCTCTACATTGTCATAGATGGTTCAGTTGATGATTTGTGGCATGGTGTTAGAAATGCCCTTGGCATTCTCCAGGTCGCGGTTGAACTTGGATGCCCACAGATAATAACTGCATGTGTGAACTACTTAGAAGCTGTTACATGGGAGGAAGCTGAGGAGGAAGAGATCTTGAGAATTGTACCTCGAATGGGATTACAGGCTGAACCTATCCTTGCTAGACTTCAACCAGTTAAGCAGTCTGCTATCGTAAATATCTTTGTCTCTGCTATCCGTTTTTCTACGTCATCTCCATCCCCAAATATGAATGATCTTAAATCTTCAGCACAAGAGCAACTTGAGTACATGCTAACTGAAGATGATGATGCCCCTTTACTGACAGCTGACGACAACATAAAAGTCGAAGTAAAAGAATGTGTAAACAGACTGTTTGCCCGGTTTATAGACTCGGTAACAGCTTTTTTCTCTGGTACTACAGAGTCACTCTCTGAGGCTGGAAATGTTCAGTTGTTTCAATCCTATTTGACTGATTTGTCGTGGGCCTGTCAGATATTGAGTAAGTTGGAAATAATGAGAGAATTTGTTGAGTATTGGTCCGATGCATCAGAAAAAATTGTTAAGGTTCTTGAACAAGGAAGTTCTACAACAGAAGTCATTGAGATAAAGTTAAGAGCTGTTGAGGTGACATCAAAGGTTTTAGAGGCAATTGGTTATGGCACTGTTATATTGCCAACTGCAAAACGCCTTCAAGTTTTGAAAGTGTGGCTTCCGTTTGTGAGGGTTACAAAACCATTGATTGATTCTGTTACAACGAATTGTGAGAATGCCATGCTGCTTAAATTAGATGGCGAAATGTGGCAATCCCTAGAATCCACCTTTGTATCTATCATTCTTGCATTGCCATCTGGGGATCAGGCAGATATTTTAACTGAGTGGCTGGATAACGAGTATATGCAGTATCCAGACTTAACTGAAGCATTTGAAGTATGGTGTTATAGGTCCAAGGTTGCTAAAAGAAGACTATCATTGGTAGGGGATGAGCATGCCATGACCAACTCATTTTGAGGCTTTCACAAATTCTGTTATTTTATATTACACTACTAATCCAAGATCTTGTCAAGGCGTTTCCAAGAAATCATCTCTTTTTTCACATGAATGGAATTTTTTGTTGGAGGCATTTAGAATCTCCATATCTCAACAATTCAATGTAAATTATTCTGAGGAGTTTTGTAAAATGTTGTACTAACTATGAACTGTAAAGGATGTAGTTTTGAAATTATTTATTTCATAGTAAGCAAAATCATGATACACTACTTTTTGACGTTGGATTTGCTTGGGCATTTCTAATTACATGGAGATGCTGTTCAAGACAGGTCCTGCACCGTGGTTTGTTAACTCAACATGAGCACACAGCGCAATCGTACGAAGTTCTGTGGTATTTTAAAGGGAGAAAACTAATCATTTTGACGGCTACTTTTGATCGGAAAGGAGAATTCTCCCTGGTTGGTTCCAAGGAGCATCAATGAAGGTAAAAGATAGAACAGGAATTGAGTTTGAGAGAATAGAATTCGAATAACTGCTTGGAAAATTGAAATTGAAAATTCTCGTTATGTGCATAACAATTTCATTTCCCAAATCCTATTACGCTGTAGGTAAAAGGTGACGAATATTAGTGACATTATTGGGAAGGTGGAGGTAAAAACCATAATGATATTTTAGTTATATTTTTTTTTTTTACAATTTAAGTTAAACATAGTTAGACAAACAACATGCTTAATGAAACTATTACTTCAGATTTTAAAAATAGTTGCTATGTAGAATAATAAAGAGAACACACCAGTAGCTGATTCATAGCTTAGAAATTTAGTTCAACAAAATAAACTGTTTTTGCTAGAGTATTGGTTGGAATTTTGGAGGTAGAAGAGTAGTGATTTTTCTAATCTCTTTGATAGTCAAGCTTCATAACGTATTATACACAATTTTTGTGACAATTACAGTAGTCGTCAACTCTCTTAGAGTGATCACCATTGTAGACTAGCCAAAACCGTAGGGTAGTTGTATAATTCATATGATCAGGGACTACCCTATCACATTAGATATATTGGTTTAAAAACCTACCACCAATAAACTTTGATATTATACATTCAGAAGCAATTGACTAATTTATAGATCAACTCCAAAAATGTTAACACATTAACCAAGCTTGCAATTGATTGACCCATTACTCCCAACAACTGCTTCAGGATATTAAATTGTTTCATTCATTCAATTGTAAGGTATGGGATTCTATTGTGAGGTTTATTAGGTGTTGAGCATTGTTGTTTGTGGTGTGGCTCCTTAGAATCTCATCATAAATACAGTGTACTGGACGTAAGTTTACCGGAGAGAGAGTTGATGGAGATTGGATCAAACATTCATAAAGTTTGGTCAACACCAATTTATGTTGTATTCAATGTGTGTTCGAACCGTGTTACTATCTTGTACCAGTTTTGGACAATCATCATACCAGTGTCTTCTGCATGTTTGTGTTAAATTGACATGCCAACTATCAGTTATGATGCTGCAATATCAAAATATTTAGCATCAACTTTAACCTGCAAAATCTCTTGTCATAAGCCAAATCTGCAATATTATTGTTCAAAACAATATTGCTCTGTTTATTTGAAAAATATTTACAACAGTGAAAAATCTTTTCCTGTTTAATAATTTCTTTATCAATAGTCTGCAACGGAGTGAAGTTGTTTATTGGACAAATTGGTATGATAATGTTGAACAAGAACTATTCATGCTTCGCTTGGGTCTCTTAATAAAATAGCACATACCTATCTTTAATAAATTCTCACTCACTTTTCTTATTATTTTATTTAATAACTAAAACTTATACCAAATACATTTATAAAGATTACAAATTAAAGTTTTAAAATATAAAAAAATTAAAAAAAAAATAGTCATTATATTAACAATGTAAAAAAAATCATATCATCCTTCAATTATAAATTATCATATAATTAAATAGAGTGAATTTGCTACTATTTAACATAAATTTATATCTTAATGTTCTATACAAATAAATGAGCATAAATTTAAAATAAGATAAATCACAATTACAAATAATTCTTTCTATATATTTAGTGACACTTTATTGTAATTAAATAATTTAATGTACTACAACTAAAAAACAAGAGATGTGAGTATAATTAATTTCTCCATATGTTCATGAATTGACAATATCAATTATTAACTTTTTTAGCAATGAACTTGAACTCTAAACACAAAAACTTGAACCATAACCTCTCCCTCCCCTTACATTTTCAAACCAAGTCCCTCTAGCATTGGTAAATTTTGTTCACAATTCTAGCATGCTGTTAGCGTCTTGTCCAATAATATTGCATCTATATCTTCATGTTCTACCATTTAATGCAAAAAAATAATAATTGTAGGATGGTATCTGGCATATTTAGTTTTTCAACAATGCAGATTATGCACGAAGTATTTTACATCCGAGTTTTATGAATTTTACATTAAATATTTTGAAGATGAATTTGGCTAATGAAATATCTTTGTAAAAGTTAATGTGGAATTTGACATTTATTACTAATTTTAACACTCTTTATTTAAACAGATTCATCAAGAAGATCTAACAACACATGAGATCCGAGTTAAACTTATTTGAGATATTAACAGTAGCTCCAATTTAAAATCTTAATAGAATGGTTTATGGATTTTTTTTACCAACATTCTCATTTATAAACATTGAGTTTAAGTCACACTTAGATTTCATAATATTTTCTTTATATAAAATATGACCTTATAAGACGGTCCATTTAGTCCTAATTTCTTAATAGAAGTACAAGTTAGTTATATACTTGAATTTTCTATATGGAAGAGAAGTTAATCTTTAAATTATGAAACTTTGGAAGGTAATTACTTCTTTGTAGACTTATTGAGATGTCCATAGTTATTAAATTCAAATTGTTGGTTTAGTACTAATTTCTTAATACGAGTTTAAATACAAATGCAAGTTAGTTATTTTTACATGGAATAGAGAGTGATCTTTAAATTATGGAATATTGAAAGGAAATTGTTTATTTATAGACTTATTGAGACGTTGAGAGTTATTAAGTTATTAAGTTCGACTAAAAATTATAATTAATAGGAAGATAGGTAACATTTTGTGCAATCTTATACTCACCAAATTAAAATTAGCATAAAAATTACTTGACATCAATAACTACCATTAGAGAGGTAAAAGGGTCCTAACAAAAGTGAAAGTGAAGGATAGTGAAGTATAGTGTCAAAGGGAAGTAGAAACTTTTTTGTGTCAGTAGATTTTCCTTAAAACTTACTTATAAGCAAATTATTGAATAAGAAAATGTGTTAATTCACAAATTGACTGCCACATAAAAAAAAAAAAAAACTTGTTATTAATTGCTTTTGGGTCTAACAGGGTAGAGGATGAAAAGAAATACATTTAATGTATCAGCTTGAAGTATAAAGACTTTTGGCTATGACAGGTCTGGAAGGTGCTTCTGAGATCATGTTCAGATGGAACTAATTTTGCTTTCATTTCTTGAAAAGAAATTCTGTGTTAACATCTTCACATTTTGTTTTCATTTATGAAAGACATAATCCTTCTAGATTTTACTTTCAATTCTGTAGACATTGTAGTTAAAAAGAATATATTATATTGTATTTGGTTGTGGTTTGTTGAGAATGTAAAAAGGCACAAGATATATTTTCAATCGAAGATATATTGGTATCTTTTACCAAAATAAAGTTTATGACAACAATCCATCTATCCCACCTTCAGAGCTTACAAAAATAATATACAACCTCAACCATATACTTTGAAATCCTAAGCTATCTAAGAACTCAAATGGTTCTATGCAGGGTATAAACTTATACTAAAGTAAAATTCCTTCTTTCTTTACACTACAATTGTTCAGCACTCCCCGCATAAGCAGGGAACTAAGAAGAAATTGTGAGGAACTCAGAAACTGTGGTATCACATTGCTCACCTTTTGATGTCTTATTCAGGTCACAAAGTCTGGCAACAATTGTGCAGCAAACCTCTTTGGGTTTTGCATGCTGATACTCTCATAAGCAGCTGAAGAGTGAGGAGAGGAATTGTTTATGATACCAAACTCATTTGGTTCACCAATGTCCAAGCTTCTACCCAGTTGAATGTTTTGGTTTGGGAGGAATGTTTGATGGGTTCCGGGTAATGAATCAAGACCAAGAGTGAGGGAAACACCATTACCTGAAAACCTTGGAGCAAACTGCTCTGCATCAAACCTTCCAATATCCCCAATTGGGTACTGTCCAAAACCACCGATGAAGTTTGTTTGGTTTCCCATGAAAGAGGATTCGTTTCTGCCTTGCCTTTCGTCACCAAATTTCATTGAGAGTTGCTCATTGTTTGCCTCATTGGGCTTCACATCAATGTTCATTGAAGGGACACTATTTGGGGAATGCATCATCTCATGATTCCTTGCTTTCTTTGGACTTCCTTGTGTGATCCCTTCCAGCTCTGAAGACCCCATGAAGCTGAATCCTGATTGGTTTCTCACACTCCCACCAAGTGGTGACGTTGATGGTCTAGAAACTGAAACCATAGCAGTGTTCTGGCTCTTTGAAACTTCTTGTTTGGAACTGAAACTTTTAGCCTCGGTTTCATTCGAAGGACCTTTCTCTGCTGGAGCTGCCATTTTCGTTGAAGAATCTTCATTGCTCTTGCTTGATTTATCCTCAGATCCCTTCTGTTCATGATCCTTCATTTCTTCCAAGTACATTTCCTCCACCATTGGCTTCCAAAGCCGAACCCGAGCATTTATAAACCAATTTGAGACCTGTCATCCACCCAGCACTGTTAAGGCGAAGAACCATTCATCAAATGGAAGAGATAAATACCATTATTATGTTACTTACCTGGCTCCTTGTTAGCCCTGTTTGCTTTGCCAACATGTGTTTGTCCGAGTCCTTGGGATAACTGGAACCAAACTCAGTTATTTCAGCACAACTTGCAAATCTTTGAAGTAATTAACAGTCACCCTTTTAAAATACTGTAAACCTTTTCATTGTAAGAGAATCAAGAAGTTAAAAAGAATTGAGCTTATCATAACCCACGCGGTTCAATTTTTGAAGAAGTTAGAAGAGAGAGTTTTTGTAAAAGAGTTAAGTGCTTACGGGTGGAGGAAGTGTTCGAAGAGCCAGGCACGAAGAACAGAAACAGATCTTTCAGGCAATCCCCTCTGGGGTCTCCAAGCATTGTGCTGGATCATTCCCAATTGTTGGAGAGCTCGTTGTTGCCTCAGATGATGGTCCACATATTTGAGCCTCGAACCTTCTATTTTCCCTCCAAAGCAATCTTCTTCTCCTAAACTCTTGTTAGCAGCTCGAACCTGCCCTGCAATAGCATCTTTCAAACAACGAAACTGCTTAGAGATTGTTTGCAATGCAAGAGCCGTGTATGTTCTCGCAGACCCAATCCCCGCAGCTTGCTCAAATGATGACACCACAATCTCCATCTGCTGGTGGTACTGCCTGTACCTTTGCTCCACCTTCGACCAAAAACATCACGTCAATAAACTATTCATTAATTCAACTCTCACAAATATTTTAGTACTTGCAATTGAAACCAACCACAATCATGCAATCCACCACTATCAGCCCTTCATAATCTTTCTGAATTTCCATGCATTAATCATTAGATTAGATAAGTGAGACATTATCATATATACTACATAAAACGCCTTTTCCATTCAAGAATTCTATTTGAAACATTTGAAGTAATTAAAATAAACACTTCTTTTAACATAATTTCGATCTATAGTTTGTCTTAATCAAAATTATTCTTTTCTCTCAGGCTCAACCCAATTCACTTTTCGTTAGATAAGATGAAGCTATGATTTGAAGTCGAACACTAGTACTCATACCAACATGAAAAGTTAAAAACACCAATAGTGTGTTTAAAACTCGTTGAAAAATGGGAAATCCAATTAAAAATGTGAAAGTTATAACGATTGAGTTGTTCATAACGGAAAAACCCATGAGAAGTTTAACCAAAGATGTTGAATTAAAGTGAACTACACATACCTCATCAAGCATGGCAATCAGTTTGGCTTTCTTCATCTGAATTTCTTGTCTTTCTGCAGTTGATAGCTCAGAGTTACGTTTTCCGTTCCCTTCCCCACCAACTGAACCATCTCCACTACCTGCCGCGGATGATTCTCCAATCACCTTCGTCTGTCCCCCACTCTTTTTACCCAACTCGGTGCCAATCCCATTGTTAACATTCACGACCTCTTCCAGAAGCTCATGCGCTGCCTTCAAGTACTTTGAGCTCAGGAAAACGCTCTGAATGCCCGATGCTCCATTATTGGTAACCCCAGACGCCGACGACGGCGAACCCCCTGACACGCGCAAGTCGTCGCCGGACATGCCCGGGGCCTGACCCTCTCGGAACGACCCCAGCCCCAGAGACAAGCCCTGCTGCGCGCGTGGGGTATCACGCGCCGCCGAAGCCGGGTCTAATGCGTTCCAGTGATTGTACTGCATGCGCGGGAGGAAGCCATGCAGTGCCGAGACATCGTGGTGCCCGTGCATGGAGTGGTGGTTGAGGTCCTGGGAAGCGGGGAGGGGGATTCCAACGAATTGTTGGGTGTGAGAGGGCGGCGCGTGAGGGTTGAAGGAGCCGTTGCTGTTGGCGCCGGCAACTGCGGCGGGGTTGAGAAACACGAGATTTCCCGCAGCGTGTGAGGGAGGGGGCTGTGACGGTGCGTCGGAGTAGTGGATGTAGCCTGGGTTCATGAGGACAAGAGTTTGGAGTCCGTCGGCGGCACCTGATTGGATTTCGGAGTTACCATGATGAAAGTATGTCGCCATCGGTTTTTGGTATAACAGGTTGTTACTTCACTGAAAAGAGAGCACTACCACCACGTTAGTTACTCTATGCTTTCAAAGTTCACATCCAATCCAACACATAGCCTAAACATGCACCTCACTTACACATACTTGAATTTGTGCCGTACCTGCGATTAATCTTGTAACGATTTGTGGATCAACCCATCAACACAACTCCCAATAATTGCAGCTCTTTTGGTACTTTCTCTCTCAAAGGTATCCTGACCAAACACACAAACACAAGTGGGAAAACCGATGAAAACTGAACCTGAATAACAATATTTGAGATCTCTCTTGTTCATTCCGAATTAAGTCGCTTTGTGCATGGTTTTGTGATGGTGTCTGATGAAGTTTTAAAGAAAAACTTAAAAGATAATTCATTGTGTGTGTATTAGTTAATGGAATGAATGATATGGTATGTAGTGTACCTGGTGATAGGAGAATTGGGGTGCGCACGTGGTTCATGATCGTTTCTGAACTGCAAGGGAAAGAAGAAATTGATTTGCAGTGAGCTGAGAAGTACGAGAAGGAGAGAGAGAGAGAGAGAGGGAGAGAGAGAGAGAGAGAGAGGGAGAGAGAGAGAGAGAAGGAGAAGGACGCACACGAACAGTTAGTCTCACCCATGAAAGCAAAACAGTTATGGGTAACGAAAACGTACATGAAAGCAGAAAGAAATTGATGGATCAAACGGACCTGTCAACGTGCATATGTGATCTATGTATCTATCTATCTATGTTGGGATTTCATCAGTCGCTTCACTTGCAAAGAGGAAAGCTCTCTGTCAGACTCAAATCCGCTGCAATTCCACCCCAACTGAAAAGGGTAAAAAAAGAGTTGAAGAGAGAGATGGTTAAAAAAGACTCGGGAAAAAGATGCCCATCTTTGTTCACTTCATTATCCACACATTTATGATCTTTTTTCTATAAAAAATTGATTTTTTATTATATCAAATTCTGGGTTGGGGGGAAATTGTGAGAACAATGAAGTGAGCATACATGCCTCGGTGCCTTTTTTTCTTTTGAAAAAGAAGTACCTGTGAAATGAATAGATCAAAACAGGGGAACTTCTTTTGATTTGACCCTATCTTTTCAAATCATTTGATGCACAAGCCAAGCACCCTTTGATGAGCAACAAAGAACTTTTGAAGAGAGAGAGAAAGAGAGAGTAGCTTTGTGCTGAGAAATCTATAAAAAATATATAATGAAAATGCAATCAAGGTGTGTCAGAAGATACAAACAGCTGAAAAACGAGGAAACGTCTCCTTCCGCAAAGCTCAATTAATTGTTTGTTTAATAAGAAAAAGAAAAAGAAAAAAAAAAGGAGGATGATGATGGACAAGAAGCGGGTGGAGGGATCTCATTGCTCATTTCTCCATTAAATATCTTCTTGTCGTTTTCGCAATTTCCATTTTTTTTTTCTCATCAACTTATTTGGGAATTTTTTGTGGTTGGATGCCTGAGTTTGAAGATAAAGCAATTAAATGGCTAAGGAACGCAGAACCAACTACCATAACACCAACTTTAATGCTTTAAAAGCTGAAAATATATGTCAAAATTGTTTTCCAATTTATTTACAGTTGTATTTCCCTTGTAATGATTGTCCCTCAGATTTATTTATCAATTTCTCAATGCATTATCATCTCTTGAACTTTACCAATTACCCTACAGTGTGTAAATTTTAGCAGATAAAAAGTGTAACCGGAAAAAGAGAAAAGTTAAAGAGAGAGTTACAAAAGCAAGGGGTCCCAATCAAGTGCATGTATGATGTGTCTATGAATCATGAGCCCCTAAATAAAGTGGTCCCTTCTTGGCTCTCATGCATCAGACCTATACTAGCAGACATCAGCATATCACAATGATCAACATAACAAAATAAAAGAATTTCATTTCATATAGTATTTTATTATTTTAAATTTCTATCTCTGAGAAATTAATCTATTCCTTCTCTCGTTTTCTTATCCCAAAAAATGAAACCCTGTAAGTAATTATCAGAATTTGTCTGTGAACAGATACTGAAGGCAAGCAAAGGATCACTTGACTGTGATGCGTGAAAAGAAGCAGAGAGTAGAAAGAAATGGACAAAGAAGGAAATGCACGGCCCAATAAATAATTAGTAATAACCCTTTCCAGCTTGTTTGAGGTAACCCATGATTCGCATGGAAAGACACAGAATAACCATATTTATTAAAATTCTGAAGTGCAACGGCTATTTTCTACATCTCAGGCTTTTAGAAGTTTTCAATCACCATCAGTAACTATTATTGTGTAAGAATGAGCAGTGACAAATTTAAGGCCTGTGATGTTAATAGGACTACAAATTTCGAAGTTGGGGACATTCATTCATTTAGCCAGCTCGGGTATCATATCATATCCATTCATAAAGCAAAGCAAACATATATATATAATGGTAGGCGCGCTATTAATATAGTATATGTGTATATAAAAGTTTCTATGAATGGCCTTTTAATAATGAACATGTCATTCTCGTAGAGATCAATGTCAATAGTATTTATTTCATAGGTGTCTTGGATTCTTTCGTGAAAACTCATGCCAACTTTTTGTTCTTGCCCCAGTTGCATTAACAACCAAGTTTTCAGTTTTCACAGCTAGTAAAAGCACATTGGATCTCCCGCGGACACTTGTGAAAACCAGAGTAAAAGGTTGCCTTCTTCAGTTACTCCATACATAGATACTGAATATTCATATGTCAGATCTTTCAATACTTCACCCTGTACTTAAAAAGGTACATCCATCCACGCTCATCTACATGCCACTCTGCTTTTTTTTTTCTGTCTTTTCTATTCTTTTTATGTCTTAAACGCCTAAATTCTTTCAATCTTTTATTTACTATTCATACTTCCATTTTGCTAAAGATCATATAATTTTATATATATATTCTAATAATCCCTTTTGATGAAAAAACCTCACATTTATCCATGCATTCAGCAAGATTGTCTTTCTATTAAAAAATAATGTGCTTTTTTTAATCTATTTTAAAATTTAAATATATGGGTATCATTCAAAATTTAAAATTTAGATGATAAAACTAATTTAAAATTTAAGAAAAATGAAAAAAAAAGGTTGAGCTAATACACTTATAATACCTATACGGGTGATTATTTAAATGATATAATTAATTAAAGGAAAAGAAAAGAAAAACTTAGAGGGTTCAAATTCCTACTTGGGATTTAACTAAAACTTATATTATATAATTGGATGCATGTTCCTATGCAAATGATTTGTAAAAGTAAAAGCATTATGGAAGGCTAGAGTTACCTAAGAAGGTGGAGGTTTTATTAGCATGATGATGGTGACACGGAATTCAATTAGTTTGGATAAGATGTTTCCGTAGAGAAAGAATGGGATGCATGATGACATAATATTGCAATTAAAGAAGTAAGGATTAAGTTAATGGTCAGAAAATGTGGGAAATTAAGTTATGATGATCAGGTGAGTAATTTTTTAATCCAAGTGTATTTATCAGAAGAACAGGCAGCGGGAGCCAATAAGCTGGAAAACATGTACAAGCCCGTACATGGTGTCCCCTAAAAGAATTTTGGATTGTGTTGATTTTGAGTTAAGCAAATAGATAACTGGCACACATCACATCACAGAAACCCCATTCTCTCTGATGATCCCGAACTCCCCTGTCCATGTTTATGGGTGTGACTATATATATATATATAATATAATATAAAAGGGGATTTTGTAAGTGGCCGTGTATGGTCCCTGTGTGTGTTTGCTCTATCAATTTCAATATTGTTATCATGGGTCTCTTTGCTTGCTCCTGGTTCTCTTGCCCTTTTCTCATTCCGAATTTTTTTCTCAAGAAAATGACTTGAAAAGAAGGAAACACCGAGAAAAGGTCACAGATTTGCTATTTAAACAATTATAGATATCGAGTGAGTAACATAAGTCATATATGTACGCCCAAATAGTAATAATTAAGATGTAGCAGTTGCAAAAAAAGCATGATTGTTTACTAAAGAAGGGGTGAAAAATGTGGAAAAGAAGGATGAAAAATTGAAGGAGAGGTTAAAAGAAGAAAGTAAAAGATTGAGGTGTGTGACGTGAGAAATTTGACCTGGCAATGGCATGAAATTCAGCAGTGGACCCAATGTTTTTATTAGGGAGGAAAAAACGAGAGAGTTAGTTTGGTGATTTGTAAATGGTGTTATGTTTGATGGAAGGAATAGCCGTGTGAAGACGCAACTATTATTTGGTTGTGGTGAGAGAGTGAAGACCGAAACAAAAGTGAAGGGGCCACAACACACCTACCAACGACCCCACTCACCCCAACTTCAACTTCAACTTCTTCTTCCCCCGCCATCTCTGCAACCATACACTACCACAACCAAAATCAAACTTCAAATCTCATCTCTTATACAATAATATCTTTTACCTACACATACTTCAATATTTCATCCGCATCTCTCATCTTCTAAAACTGTTCATGTCTATATATATATTTATCACCAAGGATTACAAAATCTTACATTCAATATTTTAAATACTTTTAAATTTTATTTTCATATAATTAATAATTTTATAAGAATTGAAATAATGTACCCTCCTTGTATTCTTTTAACCCGCAATCACACAATAAAGAAGGAGATGTCCCATGGGCAGGGATTATTAATGAGTTGGATTGGAGTGGATAGTGGTTACAGTTATTACTGCATCTTCCATTTAAAGAAAAACTGTCTCCTTATCTGTTGGATATATGTTTAAAAGATTATTATAAATTATATTTTATACTGGCAGACATGGATATTAATGTATTTATTTTTCTAAGTTGTTTAGATAAAATTATTTAAGATTATTTTCTAAATTCTAAATAGAATTATATCATAAAATAATAACATAAATAAAATTAATTTTTTTCTAGAAAATAACAAATTAAATACACTACAAAATATAAGTTTGAATAATTTTTTAAAAGAAAATTTAATTTTATAATCTAAATATAAGACACAAATCTGTAAAATTAATGTTTAACAAATATTAATTTGTTTTCACTACCAATAACTTAATTTTTTTAGTTGATTTAATTCTAAAACACTTTTAAATAAAAATTAGCAACAATAACTAATAAATATTTGTTAATATGAATAACGCCTGTCATTAATATTTTAAGAGTTTATCTCAAACTACTACAACTCTACCGATAAAATAAGTAAAGTTTAACTAAAGTTATATATATCTGTATATTAAAAATGAAACTTGAAATATCAGCGTATGAATTCTGTGTTGGCATAAAGAAACAGGTAATGTGCATGCGGATATCCATTTGGATATATATGCAGAAAAAGAAGTTAGTCATTAATCAAATTTTGTTGTTTGTTATCGAAATAGTACAAACAGCGGTGAAGGAACATGGTGGCAGCAGATAACATTAAGAGGATCGAAATTGGCAGCATAGACATATTTAAGAGTAGACGTAACTGGTTTTGAAGAAAACATTGGGTTGGTTTATAATTTTGAAAGGGAATCGCATTATTGATGGTGAGGATGAGGAGGAGATGTTGGTATGTTTTTGTTTATTTGAATGGTCTTGTAATTCTAAAGCAGGCGGCTATCATGCCCCAACTTTTGCGTACTTGGCTACCTTTGGTCTTTTGTTGTGAGTGTATTATAGTATTGTATATATATTATTATCATATCCGACCTCAACGTATGTTTTGGTTTGTTGGTCATGCCTTGCCTTCGCTGTTGTCTTCAATACTGAAAAGTCAAGACCTATAGAAATTCATACCCATGTCAAGTTCATTGAATCTTCTTGACATGACTCCACCACCTTCGTTTTTTTGTTTTCTTTCCATTCCCATTCCCATGCATGTAAAACTAATCAAACTTACTCTATTCTACAACTACCATAATACCTTTAAACCCATACGCCAATATCAATAATTCCTAAAACACATTCTCAAATTATTATCATCTTTATTTATTTTTAAGTAAATTTAAAACAAGTTATAGAAAACTGACCCCAACTTTTTTTATTTAAAATGCGAGTGGGACCATGTAAAACTCATGAAAAACTTCTTTTAAAAAATGTGCAACTTTTTATGCTCCATCCATCGTCATTGCTAGTTTATCAAGATGCCATGTTCAAATGCCGGAGAGGGATCACATTTTTTCACTTTTAAAATGAATAAATTCAAAGTTAGTTCTGATTTTGTCAATTTTACTGACTAATACCAATATTGCAATCAGTGCCTGTTTTACACGTTGATGGCTTTATTTAGTTAGCTTAGTTATTGAATCAGTAGTTAGAATGAGTCTCAATGACTAAGATAATTCATT